CTCTCTTAACTCTGGATAATACAAATGAAAACTAGCACCACCAGGACTTCAAATCCTCAAAGACACCCTGGTATAATGATGACACAACAGTGTGTAAGGGGCTTGCTGTGTGTCAGGCAGTGTACAGAGGGATTCCCATGGGTTATTCTTTTTGAAATTTTCTTCTTACAATTTCCCTATGAATCAAGTATTAGTTTTCATAGATAAAACCAAGGCTTAAGAGAAATAACTTGCCTGAGGTTGTATACCTAGTAAATGGTGAACCTAGACTTAAACTTGGTCAGGGGACTTTGGATCTATTTTTAACCATTGGCTTTATTGTAATGAAATTCTAGCAGTCTCCTTTAGGATTAAAGCAATGGAAGTGTTGGAGGCAGATTTCAGAAGACATGAAATATAGCATGGCCGGCGCCGTGGCTCACTAGGTTAATCCTCCGCCTAGCGGCGCCGGCACACCAGGTTCTAGTCCCGGTCGGGGCGCCGGATTCTGTCCCAGTTGCCCCTCTTCCAGGCCAGCCCTCTGCTGTGGCCAGGGAGTGCAGTGGAGGATGGTCCAGGTGCTTGGGCCCTGAACCCCATGGGAGACCAGGAAAAGCACCTGGCTCCTGGCTCCTGCCATCGGATCAGCGCGGTGCGCCGGCCGCGGCGGCCATTGGAGGGTGAACCAACGGCAAAAAAAGGAAGACCTTTCTCTCTGTCTCTCTCTCTCTCTCACTGTCCACTCTGCCTGTCAAACAAAATATTACATAGAAGAAAGAAAAAAAAAGAAATATAGCATTACTTCTTGCTATGGAAGCTTAGTGCTTTGTGGCATTTTAGGAGTTTCCTCAAGGCCTAGTCACCTGGATACCTATGGCACCCATGATTTAAGAAGCTAGGTAGGGTGAGGTTCTGCACTGCAACAGCTGGACTTTAGCAGGATACAATATGAGATAAAGGGAACCTACTCAGTTCCCTGCTCCACTGAGTATGTAGACTCTGGGCCTTTAGGGAGCCTGGTCTGTCTTGTCCGCATACTTGACATTCTGCAGTATATATTTACATGTCCATCTCGCCCAGGAGGCCTCCAACTCCTTGAGACCAGAGATGGTGCCCTAACTATCTCTAATAATCAAAGTGGTGCCTGGTGGGCAGGCAGATGGGTGGGAGTGGGGTAGGTGAGAGGCAGTGCTGTGCAATGACTGAGAGCATAAAGTGAGATGATCTGAGGACAGGGACTGGGGTACTGCACTACGAGCTGTGTGATTTGGGAGAAGTGACTTAGCCTCTGTGTGCCTTACTTTCCTCACCTGCAAAGTCAGTGTAATTAGAGTATGTGCTTCATCATGCCGTCGTAATAAGATTTCCCTGAATTGATACTAGACAAGTGCTTGCCAAGAAACAAGAGCAACATAGGCTTAGTTGTTGCTGTTGCTCTTGAGAATGACCAGAAGAATCAACAGATTATTTTCATCCTGAGCCTTGAGGAATGAGGTCAAAAGTCAACTCCCTCAAGTTCAGCAGGTAAGTTCCTTCAGGGCAAATCTGAATGCCACCCTGTCCTCACTCTTAGCCATTCGGAAAAGGATTGGTAGAAGGCTAATGTCACTCGTAGGAAAGGTTGTAAGCCTTGGTCCTTTCGTGTTCCATGGTATTTAAGAGCAGAGAAACAATTCAATCAATCAAATTGGGTCTCTCTGTTCTCTGTCACTATCATGGTACACCCCCTACACATAAATACATCTGTTCAATACAAAAAATAACGCTTCCTTGATTTTAAGCAATTACAGTTGTGACCAGTTCAAGATCATGTTAGATATAAATTATATATTTATTAATGTTTGAATTTATTGCCTTAACATTTTCATTAGCTTTGTCACTTCCATACTCTGGTTGTTGAAAAACTGTTTCTTTTTACTCTTCAGACCCATAATATTTTCTGTCTTAATTTTCCTTTGGCAAGATGATATATTACTTGTGTGTGTGTGTTTTATTTTACTGACTCTCAGTATAGAAAAATGTTAACTTTTCATATACTTCCTTGGAGAAAAAGCAGAGGGTTTGGAAGTGTTTGTTTTTCTAGGTAGATTATTAGAAAGATATATGTTAATCATATCACATTTTACTCACAGGTATGCATAGAATCTATTGTGTGCTTACCTGTACCTGGCCCTGTGCTAGGGACCGGTAATATAAAGGAAGGAACCTATCAGGCCATATTCCTGTGGTCATTTGCACTCTTCATGTATGACTCTACACAAAAGGGGTGAATGACAAAAGATAAAACACATGTTTTTGGTTGATGCTCTATGTTCTGGGTATTTTTCGCATTCATCTTATATAAATTTCTATCAACACTGTGATGACATAGTGTTATCCACAGGTACAGAGGCATCATCGCTGCTCGAGTTTGTTATGCAACTTGCCTCACATCACAGAAATACTTGGGATTGAAAACGGGGTCTCTGTGGTTCTAAGCCCCTCTACAGAAGAGGTTCCTTAAGGAAAGTTCTTGTGAGTGGACATCCATGGTGCATTCTCACATTTAGAGAAAAGTGATCACTTTTTTTTTTGAAACAGAGTGCTCATGTCCACTGGTTTGTTCCCTAAATAACTACAATAGCCAGGGGCCAAAGCCAGGATCTGGGAACTGAATCCGGTCTTGAATATGGCTAGCAGGAACCAAATTACTTAAGCCTCATTGCTGCCTCTGAGGGTCTGCATTAGCAGGAAGCTGGAGTCAGGAACTGGATCTATCAAATCTTGGCACTGTGATATGGGATGCAAGTGTCTCAACCGCTAGGCTAAATGTCACTCCTTTCACTTTTGAGATGTTAGTAGTTAAATTATGTAATAACTAGAATTTTCATAAATTAGCTTTTAAATGAAATTGCAAAAATCTAAATATTGTGTTAAGCATTTATACTTAAGTCAATGTACTTCTATATTTAAAATAATTTTGAAATGGAAGCCAGTCACTGAAAAAGAAATTCTTGGTTGATGGATAGGTTAAATTTGAAGATGAATGTCTAAGTATAACGTTGTACTATCAGTTACATAATCTAAATTTTACTCTAAAGAAGTGTTTGTATGGAAAGGTAACATTTCAAAATAAGCAATCTGCTGTGGCTTTGCCCAAATTGATATAAATTAAAAGTCAAAGAAATAAGAGCAAAGCAATAGAGATCAAGCCAGAATACTTTACATAAAGGTCATATTTTTTTTCTGTTACTTATCCCATCATTCAACATTAGCCACCATGAACCCAAAGGGGCATCAAGAAATAGGGTAATGCATCATTGTCAAAGGAGCTACTTACAAAATATATAGACTTAAATTTAGTTAGTTCTGGAAAATTATTTCTCAGTCATAGGAGATTTTCTGACTAACAAGGGTCATATCCTTGGTTCTGTTTAACTTAGAGGAATCCCATTAGAATGGGTAGGACACAGACTACTATTCGTATCTGCCAAGTCTGTGGCTTGACTTTGAGCAGAAAAGAAGTCAACCAATACCATCATCACAGAAGGAGGATGTAGGAACTGCATGGGGAAGTATGAGAAAGAGAACAAAGCATAGGAGGGTTGGAAGTTCAAGATCCTCTAGGTACTGAAAGTCAGAAGCCGAAACATTTGTGCTCTACATGTAAGCACCTTGAAAAACCTTGTATCTGCAATTATATGAGCAATATTATTTTATCTTAATTATAATTTTTAAGAATCCTATACAGTGAAGAAGGTATGAACAAATGGTAAATTTTGTTTATTAGGGGCTTAAAAAATTTTAAGCAATAAGGAAAGGAATGCAGGAAGAAGGATCTAGGTGTAAACTCCATCCTGCTTGAAAGAACAAGTTTGGGGCTTGACATGAGTTCGTTTTGAAGCTGCTACTGATTATCTGTGTGGCCTTGAACTACATTTCTCTGAACCTCAGTTTCCATATTGATCAAATGGGGATATTAATTTTTTAGTAGAGATACTGTAAACACATTTCGCCTGGTTCCTGGCATAAAGGGAGTACTTAGCAAAGGTTCCCAGCTTCCCACTTGAATAGTAGGAGCTCCTGAATGTAATTGAATGACAGCAGCCAAAAGGAGGGGGAAGAGCTGAGAAAGTGAGGCAATCCTTTTGTCAACTTTTACTCCACATAAGCACTCAGGAAATTATTTGCTGTATTGATTTGGTGAATGAAATTGTAGTAATAGGTCACCATCCTCAAACTACCTTGTGAGTGCCAAAGTCCAGCTCTGTACAAACTTTTCCACAGCCTTTAGGGAATTAAATCTGTCATTTTGAGAAATACTCCCAAAGACTCAGATGTTAGCTACATTTTCCATTCATTAACACTATTTTTAATCAGCTTCTTTCAGTGGTTAAATGATCGCCTGGGTAAATACTAGAGAAAGCTTAAGAACCCTATGCACACAGAGAGGACGTGTCCCATGACTCTCTCAACAAATGCATTTTGTTTTGGAGATTCCAGCATAAACGTTAAAATGTTTATAGAGGAAAAATCTACTTGGCCTAAGAGGAAAAAACCCTAAGTGTATAGTTTGTATGGCATGACTAGTGAGAAGAAACAAAATGTTACTGCACGATGTATCTGTAAGATATGATATATATGTGTGTGTGTATATATGTATATATACATATTTCCTTATCTACCAGCTTATCACTCCCTCTGTATGGAATAGCCAGGATAGACATTTCAGAGTCATTGGGGACTGAGGGTGGTATGAATAATCTCACTTCTTAGGTCTTCTTTCTGAACCCCCAGTGCCCATGGCTGTCCTCCTTGATCAATACATCCCCTTCTTCCTACTTTCTCTGATTGCCACTTGCCAGGGCCTCCATAGTTTTCGCTGGCACACAGCAAATTACCCTGCACTCGACCCAACTGGTCCTCCTCTGTAATTGCTGCTTTGATTTCTCTGTGATTTCAGCCAAACAGAAAGACCAAGCTTAGACCTGGCCAACTCGCTTTCCATGTTTGCGTCATAGACACCATGGTTTTTTATTTTATTTTATTTATTTATTTTTTTTATTCAAAGAAGGACAGTGCAGTGAGGCACCCAACAGTAAATGGAGCAGAATTTACCTGTTCCAATGTACTGAGCTACAATTCATGAGGAACTACAGTAGGGTCAGGCACTGTATTGGTTACTTAAAGTGGATGAGTGTATTGAATCCTCTTGACATGGGTATTATTACCCTGTCTTCTGGATTAGGGGACTAATACTCTGCAAGTTTCTGCAACTTGCCTATCAGATTCCCTGCCTTGTGCACTCTCTACTACTTCCCTTTTGGAAACTGCCTCCACGTCACCGCTGGGGGCGCCGTTTTCACAGAACACTGGGCTCCAGGAGATGACTCTTTCCAGAACCATGAAATGTCCTCTTGATAGAATCCAAGTTGGGATTTCTCTTTCCCCCAGAACAATAGTATAGAGGAGGGGTTGGAGACTAATGTATAACTAGGCTTAAATTCAAATCACTTTGATTTCACACATTGACTAGAAGTGCATTGTACCTTAATAGACCCATACTCATTAGTGGTAAAATAAAGAAATGTGAAAATAAGAAATCCCCAAAATGTTTGTATTGTTATTTATTTATTGAAAGACAAAGTTACACACATAGGGATATCTTCCACTGGTTCATTTCCCAAATGACCAGGGCTAGTCCAGGCCAAAGCCAGGAGCCCGGAACTCCACCAGGTCTCCTACATGGGTGGCAGGGGCCTAAGGACTTGGGCCATCTGCTGCTGCTTTCACAGGCACATTGGCAGGGAGCTGGATCAGAAGCAGAGCAGCTGGGACTCAAACCAGTACCCATGTGGGATGCTGGTGCTACATGAGGAAGTTCAGCCCACTGCACTACAACATCAGCCTGAAAATGGTTGCATTTTTGTAGATAGGTGGCAAAATCATTTTGTCTCAGCTGTTTTTTTTTTTTTTTTTTAATCTAATTCCCATGTGTTTGCCAGTGCGTTTGGTTGCGTGGTTATCATTTTTATGAGAAAACTGCAGAAGAAGCGGACTTTAAATAGCCTAAAACCTCAAAGCAGACTAATTTTCAGAGCTTAGATTAGAAATTAAAATGGAATTTGTAGAAGGGTAAGAAACTAACACCAACATGAAAAAGCAGCCTCAGCTGGTGACAAAGACAGACTGTTGGAATTGAGTCACCATGAGCTTTGCCAGATTTCTATTATCAGGACAGAAAATATCTCCTAGGCCTTTATGAAGTAATCTCTCTCCCCTTAACAATATGAAAATGAATAAAAAGTTAAGGAAATAGAAACACTTAAGGGAAGGAATTTGGCAAAAAAAAAATTGATTATTCAAAAATAGGCTTTGCTAGCAAGCCTCAGTTTGAATTGATAGGAAACCTGTGAGCAAGAGTTAGGTTCAGTTTTCAGTAAAAAACAGAAAAACTGGCAGCTACCAAAGGGTATTGTCACTGTTAATAAATGAATGAACTCTGAGGTGGCATTATTCTCGTTTGGCTGCTAAGGACAATAAGACTTAGAAATTGATCAGTAACTGTCAGGAAAAAGTGGAGACAGAATTTGAACCCACAGCTCTGAGACTCTTAAACCTTTCCTCTTCCATTTTAGTGTTCTGTTTGCAGGTGATTCACTTGTGTAAGAGTCTTAGGTTTGGAGGCATTTCCTCTCAATTTTCATTAATCTGTGTTTGAATCCATTTTATATCATGTTAATGCCTCTCCATCACCAATGTTACTGTTCATTTGTTTTATGTAGTAAACACTAGCTAAAAGGTGCTTTGTAAATGGTGCATGACTTCAGCTTCGAATGTTCCATGGGGCTGTTGAGTGTTGTTGGAAAGCCCAGAGAAGTTTTGCATCAGGTCCTAAACGATGGTGATTGACATTGACGCTCTGTATTCATAATGGTCTAGGGCAGTGCTGTTTGTCCAAACCATAACCTTGAAGAGTGTGTTTTGTTTCTTGTGAGTAAATCCTTGAACGTCCAGTCTCCTGATCCCAGAGACACGTACCTCTGCTGCCTGGCTGGCTGAGGTGCAGCAGACAGGACGTGCTGGAAGTGGCCTGGCTTCTGGTCACCGAGTCCCCGTGCCATCTGCGCTTCCTGCCCTGTTCTCGAAAGTCCGGCCGGCCCTGGGTGTGCACTGGCTCTGTGCCCGCCTTCAGTAACGTGATGCGTAGCTTTGCTTAGCTCTGTCAACACCCAAAACACATTTGCTTGCCTTTAAGTAGCAGGAATACAACCATGTTGATGTTGAAAAACGCTGAACGTAATTAATTTCTTTCCTTTGAAGCATGGCCATTGTTAACGATCCCTGCTTTACTCTGCCTCTTCAGCTGGAGTCGTTCTTTGCTCCCTAAAAATAAATGATTTCATTATGCACATTTATTCCATCTGCATTTATTCCAAATAGAATTAATATATTAATACTGGGAAGCCAGGCACATGAAATTCACACATGCACTTGTCTTCATTAGCATAGAGTTAGTGAACCTAATAACCCTCAATTCCAGGCTGTGGTACATTTCAAAGGGTTTTGAACGTGCCTTGGCTTAGCTGAAACTGGATCTCAGAGGGTGATCAGGAATACATTTAAAATTTAAGAGTTTCCCGTGCTGACTGTTCCACGTGGCCAATGCGGGCCTTGGACTTGGTTTTCCACCTTTGTGGCATGTGGCTAAGACAGCGTGGCTTGCTCTGGCTACTGTCCGTGTGCATCCACACCTTGGTCTTGCTCTGAGCTCTCTGTGGAAGAGCCTCGTCTTCCGTGGCCAGTTGTGATTGGACTTTACATAATGTGTTGCAGTGGCTTTTCCGTGGGATAAGATTAACATAAGGGGAGTGCTCGCGTTCGGTTGGCATTCCCGGCTCTGCCCTGCTTTCTCCGAGCTACATGTCAGCTGTAGCGGAACCTAAATTATTAATACACTCTGGGTAGTGCCTGTGCATTGAGCTTAATCCGGCCTGTTTTTTGGAAGTGCTGCTGCTAGTGATTTCTGAAACAATAGGAATATTGATGTTTGGAGGCTGTATGGAATGAGGGCCAAGGGCCTGGGCCTGGGCCTGAGCCATAGACTCAGAAGGCCTGGGTTTGAATCTTGACACTGTTGCTTCTTCTCGTGGAGTCTGAAGTCTGTTGCTTCACCTCCCTGACCCTCTGCCCTCCTCCACAGTAACACCGGCTGCCGAGATGCTGTGAACTCGGAACTAAATTGATGTGCAGTGAGCAGCACAAGGCAGTGATTCAACAAATGGCCATTCCTCCTCCTTCCCCCTCTCTTGGCCCCTTTCCCTGGTGCTCACGACGGAAAGGAGAGTTTGTTTTCTGCTAAGCATATTTAGTGAGACTTGTCAGCCAAAATGTGGGAAACAAATTTGCTGAAGTGAATTAGGAGCTGGGGTGTACATGCAAGTCCATGATGAGGATGCCCAGGTGTTTTTGTTGAGGGAGAGAGAGGACTCTGTATTCCTAAAAGGACGTTAAAACCAGAGCTAAGTTTCTGTTATGAGAAACATGGCTAATGATGACCCTGAACATGGGGTGGGGGTCCAAGTCTTAGAGAAGTGTCCTGCTTTTCCCCAAGTCACCAGGACAGCTCCCTTAGCGACATCTACACCCCAACGCAGGTGTTGGGCCTGCCAGTCCTTTTCTTTTCCTGGGTACCCTTGTTGGGTTTAGCTGTGAATTCCCCTTAAAGTCTCCTGCTGGGATCAGCTATTGACCCCAGAGTGAAAGTCACTTGATGGAAACTTCAGTTCTAGTGACACATGAGTGTGTTGGGGCCTGTCTCTGATGTGCAGTTTCCCAGGGACAATTAGGGAGAGATTAGCAAACCAACAACAGACAAGTTTGCTTGCTAAACATCAACTGTCAAATCAAAGAAGGCTTCTATAAGTACTTTCGACGGTATTTCAGGCCTGTTGTGCCACTTCTTCTCCCCTACTTGATTACTTGTAATATGCTGGAACACTGTTTGTGTTCTTTCTCTTTTTTCTCACCATATAAGTCAGAGAAGTCCACTGTGGAAACAACATTAAATACACGGAGGCAAGGATCACGCAGAGAAACACGATTGTTACTGACTGAAATCTATTTTTTGTGGGGGGAGGGAATTTTCTGTGCACATGTATGTTCAATATCTTCTATACCTTCTCTTGCTTTTCTCTCCCATTTCTCAAGAAATAAATGCAGATAAGAGTGGTACCTCTTGGCCGGCGCCGCGGCTCACTAGGCTAATCCTCCTCCTTGCAGCGCCGGCACACCAGGTTCTAGTCCCGGTCGGGGCGCCGGATTCTGTCCCGGTTGCCCCTCTTCCAGGCCAGCTCTCTGCTGTGGCCCGGGAGTGCAGTGGAGGATGGCCCAAGTGCTTGGGCCCTGCACCCCACGGGAGACCAGGATAAGTACCTGGCTCCTGCCATCGGATCAGTGCGGTGCACCGGCTGCAGCGCGCTGGCCGTGGCGGCCATTGGAGGGTGAACCAACGGCAAAGGAAGACCTTTCTCTGTCTTTCTCTCTGTGTCCACTCTGCCTGTCAAAAAAAAAAAAAAAAAAAAGGTACCTCTTATTTTATAACCTCATTTTCCCCACTAGAAATATAATATGAATATAAGAGTATAATATTGAACGCATGTCCATTTGAATAAATATATTTGTGTGAGTTTTTTTAAAATTACCTTTAATTCCATTTTATACAAATGTTTTGAAGTCCCCTCATATTTGATATGAATATTTTATTCTGGCCTCTTTTTCTTTTTTTTTTTTTTTAGAAAGCTTTTATTTACTAAATATAAGTTTCTAAGTACAACTTTTGGATTATAGCTGTTCTAACCCCAGACTGGATATATAGCATTCTGCTTCATGAATGTACCAAAATATATCCAATTAATCACTTACTTTTCTCTATGTGGTTGATTTCAATTTTCGTTAATATGAAAATTACCTCAGAGGACAATATAACTTCATTTTTTGCCAAAACTGACTCTCGCATTTTTGTTTGTTTTTTAGCATGGCAATTCAGAGCCTCCATCCTCAAGCCAGAGCTGGCCGTTACAACCTCGTTTCCCACAGATCCTCTGACCTTAATTCTAGTTGGAAAGGCTCCCCTGGTCACCGTTCCAGGGCACACCCTGCTTTCCCGCCACTGGCCTTTGGTTGCTCTGCCTGCAACCCCTGCTTCTCCCATTCTGTTTTATACAAATCCTCCCCTCCTTTAGGGCTCATTTGCAGCTCCACCCTTTTTTGAGAAGACCAGCTGGTTTATCCAACTGGTAGCAATTGCTTTCATGTTAATTATTATTTCATGATAGTTTGTATCTCAAGAAATTTAAGATAGTCTATGTGGAATTCGTTTTCTGTGAAGATGTCTAGATGAGAAGAGCCGCAAGTCTCGATTTTGACTCTTGGCAAGGCCCCTCAGTTTGCAACTCGAGCCCGTTCCCTTGTTGGTTTAATACTGCGGACACTGACACCATAGCACCAGGTGTCCCTCCCTGCTTCCTCAGCACCCCCACAGCCCCCATGCTCTGACTGCACTAATACACCTGGGGCAGGACCCCAGTGACTAATGGTGTGTCCCCTTCTTAGGCCCCTTGAGTCTGTCCCGGTGGGGGAAGAAATGATAGTGGCTGTGTCCCTCTGCTCAGGGCTCTGCTTTTCCTCCAGTCTGCCTTAGCTCACCTGAGAGTCTTCAGTGGCGGAGACTCTCATCCGGTGAGAGGAGGCTGCACTAGGTGGTGTGACCCCCTGGCCTGCTTTGCTGAGGCTGACAAGCTTTCCAAGGACGTGAGCCTTTCCGTGAGATAACTGGGCTGGCTGTACCCCTCTCCCTAAGGGCATATGTAGTTGCCTCTTATCCATAATAAGTGGACGGATGAAATGGTAGATAGTACCAAACCCCATATCTATTTTTTCTTACACATGCATATTTTTAATACATTTTAATTTATTAATTAGGCACAGTAAGAGATTACTTTTTTTTTTTTTTTTTACAAAGAACACTTATTTAATGTATACAAACTTCATGCATTTCCTATGTACAAATTTAGGAACATACTGATTCTTCCCACCCTAACTTTCCTCCCACCCTTCTCCCTCACCTATTCCCATTCTTATTTTTTACTAAGATCTATTTTCACTTAGCTTCCTACTCTTAAGACTAACCCTACACTAAGAGTTTAACAAATAGTATGAAAAAACATCTAATAATAAAATAGGACAATTATACTCTAATCAAATTTCTTGCACTTTGAGACTGTTTGGAACAAAAAAGGGATTTCATAAACACAAGCACCATGCTAACAGTTAATCCACCAAGAAAACTAGTAAGTGATTAGCAGGTGGGTAGCATGTACTGTGTGCATACACTGGACAGAGGAATGACGCATGTCCTGGCTCACATGGAGTGGGATACTGTGAGAGCTGCTCATGCTACTCAGAGCAGTGTGCAACTTAGAACTCGGGAATTATTCTGGAATTTTCCACTCAATATTTTTGGGCCATGTTTGACTATGCCTAGGGCATTGAAAACCATCTAAAGCAAATCATGGATGAGGAGAGACTCGTCTATTGTAACTGGTTAAGTGTAGGGGAGGGCAAACAGTAGAACCAGGAAGCAGCACCTGTGAAACCTCTCAGCTGTGCCTCCTTTGGAAGCCCTGCCTTCCACCTGTGACTGTGATACAGCTTGTTTCCCTCCAGGAGTCCACCGTGCGTGTTTAAATTTCCCTGTCACCAGTGGACACTATTTCTTACTGAACTTTCTGCCCTCTCCGGACCACTGACACAGAGGACCCTTCTCTGTACCTTGCCAAACAAACACAGGAAAGAATGTAAAATTCAGCTCCAATCAACAACTCTTGTTTTCCTTATTTAGGGTCTCATCTAGGACCCAACTTCTTGGCTTTACTTTTAGTGAAAGATGATCCAGAAATTTCACATAAAATAGAATTAGCAAGTAGCTTTATTTGGTTGCAGAAATTTGAAATTCATGCATATAGGAGGTCTTCAAAAAGTTCATGAAAATTTCTATTATGAAAACACTGCATGGATTTCAAAATGATTGCCACCAAAATAAACTCACCTTAGTTTTGTTTTCCCATGAACTTTCTGAGTTACCCTCGTAAGTCTCTGGCTCTTCAACTGGCTCTTTTGTCTTACTCTCGCCTGCCCTCCTGTTTGCATTATTCCCAACACTGATTTTCCCAAGTTGCCTCCCTCTTCTGCTCACGCAATTAGCCGAGGTAAATCTGACATCTCACTCCACGAAGAGAGGCCCCAGCCAGGCTGCCACCTTCCACCAGTCAATGGATTATTGGACATACACAGACATAAAGAATATCACTACTTTCCAACTTAATTCAGGTTTTATATCTCATGCCCTAGCCAAAAGGAAGCCTACCCATTATTTTATTGGGAAATTTTTTGATGGGCGCCACTACAAAGCTGTGTAACCAAAATTCCATATAGACACAAGAATCACATTTTACTGAAATTTACATAATTGACACAAGAAACATGATTTCAAATTCTCTTACGATGAATATTTGCTAAAATATGTATCATACCTTCATTTTAATAACAATTATTAAAATTATATTTAATGGACTAATAATTACTTTTATGGATTGCAGATTATAATACATGATTCAGTCATTCATTATAGGAAGTAAATGAATGAATTCATTGCTTTGAAATGGAAAGACAAGCTATGTAGAAGTCTGAATTTGAACCTCCAGGGTTTATGTTGGGGACGAATGCATCCGTGTTGAAGGGCAGAATGGCATGGCAAAAGAATTTCTACAGTTCAGGCATCTTAGAGGTGGAAGGGACCTTAGAGGTCACTGCACAAAGCCTGCCTCTCCTTGACAGTAGCTCTGTGAGTTATTGTCTGTCTCTGCTTTGGAGTCTCCTGCAGCATCCTGCCTCTGAACACCGCCCCCATTTCTGAACAGTTGTGATTGTTAGAACAGGCTCTCTTATTCTGAGACTAAATCTAGCACCCTGTTATGACCACCATATGCCAGCTAGTTATGCATATAGATGAATATGGCCATATGTAGGTGCTGCTGCTTCTCTCCAAGCTAAACACTTCCTGTTTCTTTAGCCAGGAGTCCTCCAAAGACATAGGTTTTTGCCAGACCTCCTCATTCCCCTTTTAGCCATTGCGTAATACATAGAATTGACACAGAATTTCGTGTGTGCATTACCCAGCTCATAATATATTGACATAGCACATCATCAGCTGTTGCCACTATTGGTAGAAGGGGCCAAGGTCATGGTTATTTTGGGGAGAAGACAATTGAGAGCCTGTTCAGTCTGTTTTCTTGGGAACTTGTTTTTCTGTTGGCATGTGAATTTTCTCCTTCCTCTTCAACTTTTAATGTCTGTGTTGGCCTTGAAATACATACATTTGACTGACTTCTGAACATATTGGAACATTTGCAAATAGGAGCTAAGCATAGATTTGTAACAATATGAAAGCTTTGTCCTCTTTAATAATTTATCATCTGTGTTTTCTGTTATGATACTTCCCATTACTTTATTTCTCGTGCTTCAAAATCATTTCCTAGGGGCTGGCGCTTCGGTGAAGTGGGTTCAGCCATGACTGCAGTACTGGTATCCCAAATGGGTGCTGGTTAGAGAGTGGCTCCACTTTGCTTCCTGCTAATGTGCCTTGGAAAGCAGTGGAGAATGGCCCAAGTCTCTGGGCCCCTGTACTCACGTGGGAGACCAGGAAAAACTCCTGGCCCAGCCCTGGTCATTGTGGCCATTTGGGGAGTGAAACAGCAGATGGAAGATATTTTTTTTTTCTCTCTCTCTCTCTGTAAATCTGCTTTCAGATAAATAAATAAATATGTTTTTAAAGATTTATTTTATTTGAAAGGCAGAGTTACAGAGAGGCAGGGAGAGGGAGAGAGGTCTTCCACCTGCTGGTTCACTCCCCAGATGGCCATAATGGCTGGAGCTGCACCAATCTGAAGCATGAGCCAGGAACTTCTTCCAGTTCTCCTACATAGGTGCAGGGGCCCAAGGACTTGGGACACCCTCCACTGCTTTCCTAGGCCATAGCAGAGAGGTGGATTGAAAGTGGAGCAGTCGAGTCTCAAACCAGGGTCCATATGGGATGCTGACACAGCAAGAGGAGGCTTTACCCACTATGCCACAGCACCAGTTCCATAATAAATATTTTTAAAAAATAAATCATTTTCTAAACACGTATTAAGGACCAACCATATGCTCCACATTGTTTGTTTCCTTTTTGACTTCTGCCCTTCCATTTTTGTTTCAGCTTTCTTTTTTACTTTCTTTATCATAAAAATATTCACTGGAATTCATGGAGATATTAGAACAGGAACTAGAACAGATGGAAATGCTAGTATAGATGGAAAACTGGAACAGATGGAAATATTTCAATATCAGTTGGATACCACAGAGTAACATTATGTAATGCGTTACAATTTATGAAAGGTTGATTTTCATGTATTTCAGACTAACCAATTTAATGGGTAAACAATTGGCTTCTTAGGGACCAATGTTGATGGATTAAATCCTTAGAAAGTAGCACATATGTAGACTTATGACCAAAAAAAGCCAATAAGCACTAAAAAAGAACAAAATTCTGCAATATTTGTTGTAGAACAGTGAATAGCAAGCATACATGTTGTTTAGATTCCTTACATTTCAGTTCCACAAACGTGTATATGCTCTGTGGATTCAGAGAGAAATGACACATGCTTCCCGTCCTTTGTGATCTCATAGGCTAGGAAAGGAGACAGACAAGCTGAAAAGAATTAAAATCATTTTACAGGCCAGCGCCACAGCTTACTAGGCTAATCCTCCACCTGCGGTGCCAGCACCCCGGGTTCTAGTCCCGGTTGGGGCGCTGGTTCTGTCCTGGTTGTTCCTCTTCCAGTGCAGCTCTCTGCTGTGGCCCGGGAGGGCAGTGGAGGATGGCCCAGGTGCTTGGGCCCTGCACCCACATAGGAGAACAGGAGGAAGCTCCTGGCTTCGGATCGGCGCAGTGCCGGCCATAGCAATCATTTGAGGGGTGAACCAACGGAAGGAAGACCTTTCTCTCTGTCTCTCTCTCTCTCTCTCTCTGTCTAACTCTGCCTGTCCAAAAAAAAAAAAAAATTTTACAGTTGATACAGAAAATTTAGGCAGTGTCCTAGAGGCATTACATAGGGGCACATCCACTGGGCCGACAATGGAGATGAGCTAGGCAGGCATGCAGGTGTGGAAGCTGGTCCTCCTGGCCCGGAGGTGTGGGCAGATGGCATGGAGGGCACAGGTAGAAAGACTCGGGAGCGTCGGGTGGTGGGACAGCATGCCTTGCTGACCGCCGTGGAGGAGAAGGGAAGGAGCCCAGGAGGATGTGTGGGAGCTCCCGTGAGCTTGTGCAAGGCTGCTTGTATTCATTGGCTTCTGTTAGCCAACACTGCCTCCCTCTTCCTTCAGCTTTCCGCTGTTCCTGTCCACTCCTGAAAATGTTTTTGAAAAGTAAGAAATGTTACCCTTACTGCCAAATTTCTGGAGTTGAAGCACTTTGGGGAGCTGAATTCCAATGAGGTGATGAACTGAAGGCCAGGAGGGTACTGGCTGAGTTCTGTTGACAGGTGTCACAGCCTCTGTGCCCTGCCCAAGCAGCCATTCAGTGTGCCTCATGCTCCTCAGCTTGAGACTGAGACCATCTTCACCCTGAGGACTGTAGTATCCGCTTCCTGCCCTCCCACACACTGGAAGTATTTGTTGTATTCAGGATCAATCCTTTAAAACAGCGTCATGTTTTAATGCATTCTTTCATTTTGAGAGCAGTACATTTATAGTGTATATTTTAAAAAAAACACAAGTAGATAAAGAGAAGAAAATCATCTATAATAAACTAATAAACTGTGCATGGTCAGTTGAACATTATTTCTTTTTCACGTGCTGTCACAATCCTAAAAGCTTGCTTTTCAGAAATTTAGAGAAATGAAACAGGAAATACTTCGGAAAGTAATCTACTTGGAGAACAGTTTGCCTTCACAAATCTGTTAATAATGAGCATGATTACACATGATAAATAAGAATGCTATGGAAATCTGCCAAGCTGATGCTAAACAACTTGCATTAATGTAACCTGTCTGAAATGTGCTATTTTATTGAAAGACGACTTCCTGTTTGAAGCCACATTTGAAGATTCCTGCAAGAATATTAAAATGTACAGTCGACCTGAGCCTGAATAATATTTTGATGCAAAAATGTTTCATTCATAGTAGTCAGTCACAAGAAAGGAATGTCATTAACCTAAAATTCATGAGATGAATTTATTCTAATACTTCTCAGATGTTTACAATCTGTATATTTGTATGTATGTATTTTTAATTTTGTAACATGAGTTGTATACTAGCATTTGCAGTTATATGTTGTAGCAGAGATAAACAGATACTTAACCTTATAAAAACATTTAGTTCCCATAAGAGCCAAAGTAGACAAAAGTGGGAGAAAACATAGGTCATTGTTTTCCTTTAAAGGATTAAGCAGATATCTATTGCTCAATGCAATAGAGATCTATGGTAAATAGGAAGTCCCCTGGCTGCACTGATTGCAAAATGCATGATGGCGCTTGACAATTGAAAAGAAATCATTTCATATTGAAACATTGAAGTCTTGATGCATGCAAGTTATTCCGTTGTTAGCAGAGTTGGGTTCTCATCTTCTTGCAGGAAAGAATACAGGCATGAGACAGAGAGCAGTGGTAAGCAAAGTAGCAAGGTGTATTGGGGTAGGGCATCCGTAAGAACAGATGGGACAGAATCCGAGAGTGCCCAGTTACTCAGACTGGGGGGAAGCAAGGTTACGTGGTTAAATGGAGAGAATACACCTGGCAGGCCAGGCGGGCGGCCCCGCAGAGAGCTGGTGCTGAGCACGCAGCATAGTCTGTATTCAGACTGGGGCTTACAGGGAAAGGGCTCCTGTTCTTCCCTCCTCCTGCTCCTCCTCCAGGACAAAGGGCTGGCCGTGTAAATTTGGAAGAATTCTTCCCCAGGTTTTACTAGAGTGCTATCAGACTGGGCCCACCTGGCACCGGGCAGAGGCGCCTCCCCTAGGGTGCCTGCCCTGGAGGAAGGCTGGGAAGGTTTTGCTGCTCCGTGTTACGAGGCCAGCTAATGCATTTGGTGCTGAGAGAGGATTCTCCTGGGGAGCTTTCCTTGGGTGAGGGCTGAGACCACCTGTAAAGCTATCAGGGTCTGGGCAGGACTTTGTGGTGTAAAATCCTGGGCTGCTTCCCAAGTGAACTTGTGCAGATACATGGTTTGTTTTCCTCTGGCCCCTCTCACACACATAGGCTAACCTAACACAGTTAGCATAAAATGAGGCATAGATTTGTCCTATGGGAAAAGCCCTTCCTAGACACGGTCTGTGCGGTTGACAGCAGCTGGGACAGTCCCTTCCCCCATGAGGGAAACTCCAGGGGCCTGTGTCAGCACCCAGGGAATAGCCCGTGAGTGCCTGGCCCAGAGTTTCAGCTTGAGCTTGGGGTGTAACATACAGCTTTTAATTGCCTTCTCAGCAATATTTCCTTTCATCTCACAGTCAATAAACTGTCACGGTAATGTCCTAGGCAGGTGTGGCAGGAGGAATCCCCCAGCTCTCTTGTAAATGTTCAGCCGAAGGCGTTCATTGTGTTAGCTCATTTGCCTTAAAAATACATTTCCAGAAAAATTCTGAAAGAAACCCCATGCTTGGAATGCACTCTTTAATGATCTCAGGGAGTTTTTAAAAATTAAGGTAGAATTTATTTGCAGTCAAACGCACTGATTGCAAGTATGTTGAGGCTCAGTTTTGACAAACACATAGTCCTTAACCCCTGGCCTGTAGCATGTAGAACTCTTTGTCACCCCCGCAAGTTCCTTTGTTCCTTTTTCCTGTCAGTTTCTCCTCTCCCCTCCAGGCCTTTGTTAACAATTCTCAGCAGCATTGTTGTGTTAATTCACAAATGTCCAGAGTGACGTAGCCAAGAAGGATCCTTAAAAGTATGTTTTCTTTTTGAGAAGTTTTTTCTCCTTACCGAACCATTGAGAAGCACATGCATAGACCAAGAACGGGTATTTCAAGCTGGGCCAGATAGAATTTCAGTGTGTTGTAAAACACATCAGAGTATCCTCGGTGTCTAGTTATTGATGAATGAGTACATCCGTTTCTAGCCTGTCCCTCCAAAAAAAAAATTTCAAGTAATTTTCTTTCTTGTTGTATTTTAATTTGTCTCTATTGTAATTTCCACTTCTGGTAAATATTGCCAGCAATCCTTTGTGACTCTAACATTGGTGTGCATACCCATTGTGTAGGGTGGGATAAATGATCAGTTACTATAAACTTAGTAACAGTGACCAGTGAACGTCATGGAGGAGCTGAATAGTTCAGTATACCCCCCGGAGTTTGGAGAAGCGGTGCTTTTCTTGGTTTCTATCCTGTCAGCCTCTGTGGGGTGATAGGAGGCCAGTTTGAATGCTCCCACACCCATGCCCCATCATGACTAGGAACCATTGCAGGAAATGTGGGGCTTTCTCATTTGGATCTCATGTTCACCAGACAAAGAATACTTCTATTTTGTGTGTGTGTGTGTGTGTGTGAGAGAGAGAGAGAGAGAGAGACACCTTGTTTATTGACCCTGGAGAGTTCTTTCTCATCCTTTTAGCAAATGTGCTGTACTTGATAAATGAATTTCAGAGGCAGAACTGGAAGACAGTGAACAATGCAGAGAGAGATACAGTTCCAGGATAGAAGACTGCTTTGATTTCATTATAGCAGCACATGGAGTATAGAATGAAATTGTGCTGCTGTTGTAATTTATTCTCTTTATTAAAATAGACAAGCATTAGACAAGCCATAAAATTCCCATCTGCATTCACAGCAGGCTCCCACCATCTGAAATACTGATCCGCCCCCCTCTCAAAAACACCCAGGAAGGAAACATTTTAAAATTGGGGATTGGCAGAATCATAATATTTAATTTCTGAAAGCCATGATATCCTCATCTGCTCTTTGGGTTGCAGCGTGCATTTTGAAGGGAAGGCTCGCCTTCTGTACTTAAATGTCACCGAGGACACGGGAGTTGAGTAGGAAAGACCTGCAGTGCAGCAGAGGGAAGTGAATGGACTCCCAGCTTGGTAATTCTGCAGTCCTGCTCCCACCACCTCCCCTGGCTAACCACCTTGAGGAGAAAAACAGTGAGGAGAAAAAGCAGTGTGCTGATAATCATGCCAGAGGCAAAGCACCCATTGTCATTTTAGCACAGTTTTCGCCATTGCCTGAAGGACAAAGGCTTTTAATAGGGAGAAATTGCCATCCAAGGCATGAAGAAAGAGCCTGAGCTAGAGGGAAAAAATTTTTTTTTCTCTTCCTGACTTAAAAGCCAAACACTTTCTTGCCTTTTAGACATAGAAAGCATAGAATCCTGTGAAAGGGGTGTAAAAGGTAATTGTAAATTTGCATCTTCTTTTTAGCAGACTGTACCCCTAACTTGGGAGAATTTTCTGTTTCAATTTTTCATGCAGGCAGTCTGATGAAAAATTTAAACAAACTCTTTTAGGAGTGAGTCTTCCGTCAGATGTCACGCCAAGCTCCCATTTGGTGGGAACGGTTATGTAAGGCCGTCTGTGCCGTCCTTCTAAATAATAGATACCTACCAAGAGTCCGGGACCTGGCAGGCTGCACTGCCTCTCTCGCCCTGGAGACTTCTATTGATGGCATTTCTGATGGTTAGATGTGATAGAAAATCTTCTTACTGCTAATCTGTTTGGCTAGGAGGGGCTATGTCCTCACCTTAGAGGGTTAAAAAAAAAAAAAAAAAAAGTACACACAGTGCTAGAATTAGATATATTTAGTTAAAAGTAAAGCTGATGTTAGAGCAGACTGGCCACTGAATGAATGGATAATACTGAGGTGCCTTGAGAGATGTGGGCACTTGTGAAAAATAAAAGCTTTGAGGTCTTGAGAGATGTGTATTGATCTGTTAGGCAACAAGGGCTTCAATATATGTTAGCACTTTTGATTCTTGTGGCCCTGTGGAAGAGGGAATCTTATTTTCATGGCAGTTATACTACCTCCCCAAGGTCACGTAGTAGCTACCAAACCACCCTGAATCCCGGGTAACTTCCTTCTCCCATCCCCCGCCCCTGCCGTACTAAACATGAAAATGCAGGTGTCTACTCTGAAATCTGCCCAAGCAAGCATTTCAGGCCTAGCCTCAGAGTGAAAGTAGGGAAGAAAGCTCTCAGGCTGTGTGTCTCGTCCCAGAGGCTGGAGGAGAAACTCAGTCTTCATCCCCACCCCCCACCCCCGCAGGGTCTATGCGCTGAAGGTAAAGAGAGGGCGCAAGCGAGTGCACAGTTGGTGCACAGTGATTTAATCCTTCGGTCCTTTGCCCTTGGCAGGAGAGTTCCACCGAGTTGAGTACAACCTGAGAAAGATGAAATATGTGTGAAGGTGTTTTGGCAGCATTTGTGTATTACTACATATAATTAATATTCTTATCAGTTATCACTGTCACCATCTCTCCTGCTAACATAATTATGTAGCCTGTCTTCCTGGTTAGGTGTGGCTCTGGAGTCAGATTCCCAGAGTCCCTGTGTGTGTCTTCTCCCATTGCTTACTGACTGTACCACTTATTACCTTCACTGTCTCTCCCATCTGTGCAATGGAGACAGGAATTCCTATCTCCTTGTCCTTGTTGGGAAATTTTCCTGAAATGTCCCGCTTCAAGTGTCTGGGAAATGCTGAATAAATCTCTCATACTTTCCTGTTGTCCCATTAAAAAGCATACTTGAGATCAAATCTTCATTGAGAGTTTCATAGATAAGTTTTTAAATTTTAGCCAATTTTAGGTGTATCTGAAACCTTTGCAACAGACAGAAATGCTAACACGAAGTATATGCTTGTAACCTCGTTCAATTTTATACAGCTCACTCTTCCTTTTTTTTTTTTTTAATTTTTTTCTTATTTGACAGAGTTATAGACAGTGAGAGAGAAAGACAGTGAAAGGTCTTCCTTCCGTTGGTTCACCCTTCACCCCCCAAATGGCCGCTACGGTTGGTGCTGCTCTGATCTGAAGCCAGGAGCCAGGTGCTTCCTCCTGGTCTCCCATGCATGTGCAGGGGCCCAAGCACTTGGGCCATCCTCCACTGTCCTTCCGGGCCACAGCAGAGAGCTGGACTGGAAGAGGAGCAACCGGGACTAGAATCCAGTGCCCGTATGGGATGCCGGCGCTGGAGGAGGAGGATTAACCAAGTGAGCCATGGCGCTGGCCCCTCAATCTTCCCTTCTAAAAGCAGTTTTCCCTTTATTGATTTTGAGATACATTCAACAACAAATATTTGAAAATTGCTCAATGAAAATGAAGATAGTATCAGATTTTTGATTAACAGAATGTATAATGGAATTTGAAAGTTATTTTTAAAGACTGTAGATCCATAACATCATAAGAATGACTTTTTTTTTTTTAAGGTTTATATATTTGAAGGCAGAGTTACAGAGAGGCAGAGAGAGAGAGAGAGAGGTCTTCCATTCACTGGTTCACTCCCCAGATGGCCACATGGCAGGAGCTGCACCAATCCGAAGCCAGGAGCTTCTCCCAGGTCACCCACATGGGTGCAAGGGCCCAAGGACTTGGGCCATCTTCTACTGCCTTCCCGGGCCATAGCAAAGAGCTGGATCAGAATTGGAGCAGCCGGGACTTCAACCGGCACCCATATGGGATGCCGGCATTGAAGGTGGTGGCTTTATCCATTATGCCATAGTGCCAGCCCCTCCTGTACCATTTTTATTCCCTTTTGATGTCATTTAGACACTTGCATGCATTTTATATGGAATGAAATCTAACTAAAAAAGGCTTTTTTTTAATATTTATTTTTTACTTATTTGAAAGAGTTGCAGAGAGGTAGAGCCAGAGAGAGGGAGAGGTCTTCCATTCTGCTGGTTCACTCCCCAAATGACCTGATGGCCAGAGCAGAGCTGATCTGAAGCCAGGAGCTTCTTCTGGCTCTCCCAAGCAGGTGCAGGGGCCCGAGGGCTTGGGCCATCTTCTACTGCTTTTCCAGGCCTCAGCAGAGAGCTGGATTGGAAGAGGAGCAGCCAGGACTCAAGCCAGTGCCCACATGGGATGCTGGCACTGCAGGCTGGGGCTTTAACCCGCTGTGCCACAGTGCTGGCCCCAAGGCTGTCTTTCATAAACAATATCTTCCTCCTTTAAGAAGTTTTCCACTTTTATTTTCTCTCATTTTCCTTCTTTCCTTCCTCTTTCTCAGCAAATATTTCAGCCTCTATTTTTCAGGCACTATTCACTATGCTGGAAAACAGTGGTAAATGTCAGCACCTTGCCCTCTGGAATTTGCAAGTCTATGTTTTTCATATATTGAAATTTTAGTCATCTTCTATTTCACGTTCAAATATGTGGTGATTTGGGGTATTTATTCAGAGGAGAAGATCCACAAACCAGCACCTGTTAGGAGAGCTGGCCTCCACTTTTTGGAAATACAGACTATGCCTCTTTGTTACACTGCATTTTCCCTTATTTTCTTGAAAACATGTAGTTCCTCCCCGATTTCTATCTGATTTTGTATGTTGTCCACATTAAAAATGATTACATTATTCTCCCATCTTGGGAAGTGGTTTCCTGGTAGGCCATTTGTTACATTATAACTAGAGTCTGAATGTGCATTGTTGATTTTCCTAACAAATTCCATACATTTTTATTATTAACTGTTCTCATGAGATACTTCTTTACATCGATACTAGAAAACTGAACAACCTTGAATAATTTGCCAACAGGGATATATGGTAGTCCAGAATCACTCTAGATTCTGTTGGTTTTTAAAGAAAATGATTTTCTTTCTTCCTTTTTACTCCAGTGGGCTTGTAACACTTTGTTAGCTCAAAAAAAAAAAAGTTTGACCTGATCTTTTCACATAAACTTTAAATGTTTTTATAAGAAAACCAACAAAAAAGGATGCAGAAAGGACATTGTATACATATCATCTCTTTGGCTAGTTGTGCTGCCTTATTCATACCTACACTATTTTTTTTAAAAGATTTATTTTATTATTTGAAAGAGTTACAGGGAGAGAGGTCTTCCATCTGCTGGTTCACTCCCCAGATGGCCACAATGACTGGAGCTGAGCTGATCTGAAGCCAGGAGCCAGGAGCTTCTTCCAGGTCTCCCACGTGAGCACAGGGACCCAAGGACTTGGGCCATCTTCCACTGCTTTCCCAGGCCACAGCAGAGAGCTGGATAGGAAGAGGAGCAGCTGGGACTAGAACCGGTACCCATATGGGATGCTGGTGCTTCAGGACAGGGCTTTAACTCACTGAGCCACAGCGCCAACCCTCATACCTACATTAAATTTAGTCTTCAGTTCTATGAGTCATGTTAGGGTTTTGTTTTTCTTTCAGTTTGTTTTTATTACTTTTAAACTTGATGAATCTTAAGGAAATCATAACAGATTCATCAATGGGCAGTGGTAGTGTATGTCTCTAGTAAAAAAAAAAATACTCAGATGCCCTTTTAGACCCTGATGCTCAGGAGAAGTGGCTCCCCATACACTTAGCCATGCCTCCCCACCTGCCAGGGGCCATCTGGGAAGGGCTTGAGATGGGAGGTTCAGCTGAACATCGTGAACCCTGCAGCAGCCTTCGGGTTGTGCTCTGTCTTGGCTCCTCTCCCTGCTCTAAGTTTCTTCATTCTGTCCAGGTGCTGTCGGTTGCAGGTGTGGTTAATGGGTTAGGAATGTGTTTAGCTGCAGATATGAGTGTCTTTGGCTAACAGTGAGATAAACAAAAAGGAGTTACTTTTGCTAGAGGAAAAAAAGTGAAGAACAGGACTAGCCATTTCAGTGCCTGTGCCAGGAGATGGAAACGCCTCCCCCAAAGCCCCATGCCAATGTGTGCTTGCTAATCTTCCAGCCACAACTGCCTCTTACAAGCTCCTGTAGCTGCAAGACACGCTAGAAAAAAAATTTGGTAGCATCCTACTGGGAAGGTAGCAGAAGAAAGGTGGTTAGGAGTATCCAGAGAACGAGGCTACCTCTGTCCAAGGTAACCTGTCCCATTGACTGCCTCAGAACGAGCTCTGACTTCCTTTGTGGGAAGCCTGTCTGAATTGCCCATTTTCCGTGATGCACCCATTTGGTCTTGCAGTCATCATCCACTAGACTGAGCTTGCTCCTCGGGCACAGACCGTATCTCCATGCACAGTACCTGAGGGAGGACGCCCAGCGGAGAAGCTCAATGAGTGAATGAATGAATGTGGGGTGTGTGGATCTGCTTGGTATTGCCTCAGCCAGCTGCCGGAGGGAAAGGGAGAGTGCTGAATGAGGAAATCTCATTTCCACCTGACATTCCATCCTGGTCCCTGGGCATTCCCTGGATGAAATGCGAAACCACAACCCTGACCACTTTTATTCATTAAGGTGCTATGCCAAGTGTTTTGCCAAGGTCTGCTGGCTCATGTGTGATTTTAAAAAAAATTCCAGTTTGGGACAGTAGGCTTTCTGCCTTCTGAAAATGTTTGTATGCAGTTTTAACTAGTGACAGTTATTGGGCTGCTAAGTGATATAAATATTAGTTCAGCATAACAATCAGCATAGTTCTCTGAAATGAAAAAATATACAAAATAGCTACTCAAAGGAATTACTGTTGGTTGTGCATAGAGAGATGTATAATTTAAAAGTATTTTAAACTTCTTGGAATTTATCCTAAGAAGATAATTTTGAAAGTGTTCAAAGATATATCTACAAAGTTGTTTTGCTTTTTGTTGTTGTCAGTGGTGATGTTAATAGTGGTGTTTTATATTAAAATTTGAAAAAGCAGCTCTTCACTAGGAGTGGGATTAAATAGATAAAGAAACACTATGGAAATGTGAAAGTGATCAGCTTTCCTGATAGCATAGAAATGTTCCTGGATGTATCAACCAGGTGACATGTATGGCAGCGGGGGTGGGGTGGGAGGTGAGGGGTGGTGTGCTTCTCAGTAGATAAAGCCAGAATTATGCTACTCTAAATGTCTGCCCATGCAAAACGTTAGGCATACTTCCTTTTGGAAGTGTTTGGGGAGGGAGGGGGTAGCACTGTGGTGTAGTGCATGAAGCCGCTGCTCGCGGAGCTGGCATTCCATATGAGCACTGATGTCCTGGGTGCTCCACTTCCAGTACAGCTCCCTGCTAGTGCTCCTGGGAAAGCAGTGGAAGATGGCCCATGTGCTTGGGCCCCTGCACCCACCTGGGAGACGCAAAAGTATCTCCTGGTTCTTTGCTTTGCATAGGACCAGCTCCAGCCGTTGCGGCATTTGTAGATCGATGCCCTCTCTCTGTCTCTCTCTCTGACCAACAACCATTTTCTCCTTGCTGTATCTTCACGAGAGCAGGAAATCAGAACAGAATGAACTCTAAGCAGGTATATCTTGTAAATAATATTTCTCAGAATGTCTTCTCCATGTCCCCATGTGCCATGTTCTGTAACTATAACGAACACTATCCATGATTACAAACTCACGTGAATTTCTGTTCAGTTGAATAAAGTACCTGAACTATAGGAAGCCCAAGTGGACTCGGGCATCTCTGGAATAGTTTCAACATCAAGGACAAAGCAAAAAGTGATTTCTGAAAAGTCTTGAGTTAAACTAAAAATTAAACCCCTCAATTCTATTCCCTGAACATCCCAAGTAACTAACCATTTGCCACAAGAACTTTGAATAAGTGATTTCTTTGAAATTCCATTCTATCAAAGTACCATACTGTGGGCAGAAATATGTCACAACCACCAAGAACAGTGAGCTTATATCATTATATTGTAAGTAGTGTAAGTGTCAGTAGCAAAAGTCTGATTGACTCAAGCAGAAAATGAGAAAAAGTGAGGGCAGACCATCAGTTCTGTGGCATGCTGACTAGTCTGCTAAGGGACTAAGAAGAGATCACTCTGGAAGAAAGATTAAAAAAAAAAAAAAAAAGTTTGTCTGAAGCCTTGCTTTAGAATATGCCTATATCACTCATCTTCTTGTTCCTAGAAGTCTGCATGTGAAAATAGACTTTTCAAGCCAAGGAGTAAAGATTTTATGTTATATTACTTGAGAAAGTAGGTTTATCCAGCCTTTTGTTTTTAATGAACAGTTAAACAGGTAGCATGTTTTTCATTTTCACCAATCTTTCCTAGAAAGAATCACTGATAATCTTTCTCTGCAAACCTGACCTTCCTTGTTCTGTTATGGAAAGATCATAGAAAGAAACTATGAAAAAGAACTGAGTTGCTCTTTTTAGATTAGGTTTTGCAATATTATATTTAAAGGTTAAAGTGATTTTTCATCCAGCAGGCTTTGCTTCAGTAAATCCAGCTCCTGTCTCCTTGGCTCTCCTGTCACTGGAAAGGAGAAGAGAGTAGTCTAGATAGCACTCTGCTTTTGCTCTTTCCGTGGTGAGAAATATTCACACCAACTTGATTAAAAATAAAATGATACGACTGTCACACACTAAGTTTCTTAATCATTTAGCTGAGTATTCTTGTTCATTCAGCCACTGGGAATAAAACAATTGTTTCTGATAAAATTAGTTATGTACTTAAATTATCTTGGTCTGGGAAATACAACAAACATAAAAGTGCAATTGTCTCTCCCCTTGCCAAACAAACACACACGCATGTGTGTGTAGGTGTGCACATAGTATATTGAGATTGTAAACTGTAGTTAACTGGAACAGGCATTTGGCTTAGCAATTAAGATACTGCTAAGATTCCTGTGTTCCAAGGGACCTGGCTCCAGTTTGGTGCTGAAGGCATATCCTGGGAGACCTTAGTGATGGCTCAAGTAGTTGGGTCCTGCCACTCACAAGAGAGATAATATTGAGGTTCTGGTTCCTGGTTCATTACAGACATTTGGTTGATGAACCAGTGGATGAAGTTCTCTGACTCTTGAACAATTAAGAAAAGAAAAAAAGAAAAGAAAAAACTCCTTCACTATTGGAACTGTTTCTCAAATTCTGAAAAAGCTAGGTATTTTGAATTTTTTACATGGTCAGTTAGTTCACTAATTCACTGTAGTAGTTCAGAAGCTGAAAAATTACTGATAAATAAAAGTTTTAGAGATGGTTAATAGAGTTGTATATAACCCTCTAAATTCAGTCAAATTAGATTTCTTGACATTCTATGAGGTAACATGGCTGAACTCAAGCTGTATATTAAATTGGTTTTGTTTTAAAGGAATCTAAGATCAATTGATAAGCACTTATAATTAATAAAATAAAATAAAAATTTCAAATTAAGACTATAAGTAACAAATGTTTTAAAGGACCTCAGGCTAACCCATATGAATGTATTAAAAATATTCATGAAAAATGGATTAAAAGATAAGTTTTTTTTGGTGTACAAAAATTTTGAAATCTAGGCATGGTTTTTCATAATACCCATTTTTCATGAACTTTTTGAAGACCGCTTGTGTATGATAGGGTGCTTTAGTAAACCATGGCTGGCTTGAGTGTGGTTTGAAGAGATGCTATTAGCTCTTCACTACTTCAGCGTTTTCTTTGTATTTGCAAAGAGGAATTGTTCTAAGGGAACCATTCTGACCACCATCTTCACTTGAGATGGTCCATGCACCCCAGTTAGAAAGGAGAGCTGTTGACACCACTGCTGTTACTGGGTCTCCAACAAGTCCTGAGAAAGAGGACAAGAAATCAAAAAATATAGTCAGAACTCTGTACTAGCCAGTGTTATTCCTCATTACCACTTACATAAATGTGGCCAAGAATCAGACATCAGATATTGCTTGAGCAACTCCATTAATCAGATTATGATCTAAACACCAGTGATACAGCAGTGAACAAGACAGCCGGAGATCCTACAAAGAAAGGACTTTTGTCTTGGGGTGTGGAGAAGAAATCAGTAAACATACAGACAGACACACTGATAATTCCAGGTCCAAAGTACAAAAATCTTAGTGCTGGAGCTAAGCTAGGGTTTCCTCAGAAAGGTAGCCAGCGTTCTAGGAGTAAAGTGAACAGAGTTAAATATAACTTCGATGTGCCTGTTTTACAACTAACTGTAGCTACATCAGCAGAAGAGTCCAGAATGCCAGTAGGGGTATCATCAAGGGTCCCAACCTGAGATGTGAGATGGCCATCTGGAAGTGTATTGAGCAATCTTTATCCGATGGAACTTGATGAGAAGGTAATTACAGAAGTGAGGATGACTGAGCACATGTCTCTGGGGCAGCCACACTTCAGATTAGAGGAAGCAGCACACAATGCGGAAGGTAAGCTTACTTGATTGTCTAGGGGGGAAAGTCATGTATTGAAGGAGGTTATGGCCAACCATGCTGAATGCTCTATCATATCTAAGAGAAAATGGACAGCTGCTTTTGTGAGACGTACATTACTGTTAATCTTGCTGGGTATGTTGAGAAAATGATAAAGAAATGAAACAACAATGTATGGGGCATTTTATGGTAAAGGGGAAGTGGGATCAAGAGAAGTGGATCAAAGGAGGAGAAGTTGGGGTGTGTGTTGTTTGTTTAAATACAGGAAGCATGGGAAAAGCATCACCTTGACTCGGGGGAGGTTATAGAGATGGAGAAAACAGGCATTGCAAAAGAAAGCAAGGATTAAGGGACAGTGGCAGGAGCTGAACTCTGGAGAAGGCAGAAGCCGTCCTATGATGTGAGGAAGCCGGGGCTCACATGCAAGGGTTGGCCTTAGTTAAAAGTAGACGCTTCCTGTGTTCTAGAACGAGAGGGTGAGTAACAGCTGAAGCAGATTCCGGAGATTGGTGGGAGTGACGATGAGTGAGGATCAGAATGACATCCTCACATCTGTTTTCTCCATGAAGTGTGGTTGGCAGCTGTAAATCGGAGATGAAGGGGGTTGAGGCGAATGAAGAGAGAGGATTAGGTGTGAAATCATATGAAAGGATTACAGAAGTATCTTACAGACATTTCCAAGTTTTGCTAGGATAATAGGGAAGTCAGAAAGGCATTGGGTGCCTGGGAGACGTGGCCAAGGTGATCTTGGCTGTTAGATGGGGTGAGATTGCTCCTGGAAACCTCTCCAAGGATGGTTGGTCACACAACAGAGTCCCGAGCATTAACCAGGCCTAATGTGCAGGTCCTCTGTCTTCTTACTGCTGGGCATCACAGATGCATGGACTTCCTGGGGGCTGGGGTTGTGTCAGGGCAGATCTGAGATGAACATTCTCTCCAAGCCACTAGAGGCCAGGCCCACTGGGAACATGCAAGGAGTTTTTAAAATGTTCATGGAAAATGTGTGTTACGAAAAAAGACACAAGGATTTAAAAAACTTTCTCTTGCACCAAAATAGACTTATCTTTTAATTCTACTTTCCCACAAAAGTTTTGAAATTCTGTCAGGAGCAAATCTCTGTGCATCTGATCTTTCCCATAGCAGTAGGAGTTATCACTGTCTCTCTATGTAGACTCAGACTTCTTTATAAATCAAGGACTGATAAATTATAGATGTGAACCGAGAATGTATTTTCCTGTGAAATTGGGAGCAGGAGTGGAGGACAGCGTGTTCTCTAAGGAGTGAAGATACTGCTCATACAAAACGGGTAAACAGAGGTCTAAAGAGGCTCTGCTGCTCACCGTCCTTTAGATCCTTTCTGATGGATCTAAAGTGCGTGCATGCTGCTCACTGCTGCTTCCCTGGGCTCCCACCCCAGCAGCCCTGCCCTGCCCGTGTGGTATTCTTTCTTGTTTTTATGCAGGCATTGCTATTGCGAAGCTGTAAGACCTTTGAAGGCACGACTGTGCCTGAATCCTGTGGTAATCCTCACGTGAACTCATCCGGGAAAAGCATCTTGGCCATGTCTCTGTTCTGTTTCTTCCCTGTCCTTTTAGTGAAGGCAGGAAGGATGAGGACTCCGACTGGCCCCACGTTTCCATTTCTGCCCGAGATGTAGAAGTTTGGTTAAGTTCTCAGAGGACAGGATGGAGCTGACTGACCTGAGACACGTGGAGCAGAGGGGCTGGAGGAGAGGTGTCGGGAATGGTTTCTGTGCGGCTCTGCCCTGGGGATGGAGAAACGTCACAGTACTTCTACTGAGGTGAAAGGGCACCCAGTACCTGTTGGGAGAGCAGCAGAAGATGGAGCCTTTAGGCCGGTGCTGCGGCTCACTAGGCTAATCCTCCGCCTTGCAGCGCCGGCACACCGGGTTCTAGTCCCGGTTGCCCCTCTTCCAGGCCAGCTCTCTGCTGTGGCCAGGGAGTGCAGTGGAGGATGGCCCAAGTGCTTGGGCCCTGCACCCCACGGGAGACCAGGAGAAGCACCTGGCTCCTGCCTTCGGATCAGCGCGGTGCGCCGGCCGTGGCGGCCATTGGAGGGTGAACCAACGGCAAAGGAAGACCTTTCTCTCTCTCTCTCTCTCACTGTCCACTCTGCCTGTTAAAAAAAAAAAAAAAAAAAAAAAAAAAGATGGAGCCTTGAGTAACTCAGCCAGCTTGTCCTCTCCTCCGTTTGACCAGGTCTTTTTCCAAAGAGCATGGGCAGTGGCAGTCCGAGTAAGCACTGATCGTACTCCTGTGCAAAGCCAAATTTGGGTTTGAAGTGCCACTACATTCCGAAAACGGTACAAAGGAAATGTATGAAACTTGTGTAACTTAAATATATATATATTTAGAAAAAAAGTCGATCATTGATTTCCTCCCTTTGAATGAAAGCCTTTGAGGGGAAAGTAATGATGTTGACTTCTTGGCAAGATTTTGTTGTTGTTGTTTGTTTCTCTTTAAATTAAACTTTTTGGTGACAGCAGAATTTTTCATTTGCTTATTTGAAAATTATAAAAAAGTTAGCAATCATGAATAGCCTCAGCACCCAAGAATTACTAACAATGAGGCATATTTCCTTCTTGTTTTTTGCTATATACTAATTTTAAGTAGATAAATTATTAGCTATAAACTTTGAATTTTAAAAACTTTATAAACTATAAATTTTAAATTATATAAAACCATTTAAAACTTTATAAACTAAATTTATAAACTATAAAATTTAAGTGGCTAAATTATTTTCTATAAAAATATATTTGTAATCTGTTCTTAGATTAAGCCAAAAAATACAAGGTCTTATACTTCTAAAATTAATTTTAAATATGATCAGATTCAGGGACTTTCTCTAGCAGAAATATGGAATGTGGAATCCTCTCTTTGGAGAATACAAAACAATCAAATTCTAAAAGTTAGTACAAAAGGAAAGGGATTTTTTTTTTATTTAAAAATCTGTAAGTAGGAGAGAGGTTTGTATGAAAATAAGTTTATTTTTTATACAACCACATTTTAATTGGGTGGAAGGGGGGAGAGTCTCATTTAAAATAGGATAAGAGCAAAGAATTAACATTAAACACCCAAACTTGCACCACAGTCCTTTCTTTTAATCAGTAGCTATGCAGGCGCCAAAAAGAACTGGGACAGGAGCTATTTTTATGTTATATGTTCTGTATTTCTGGGATTTGCAAGAGAAATGGTGGCAAAGAGTTTCTGACTGCTGTTCTTAACTGTTTTGGGGGGGGGGGAATGTAATTTAAAAATAACACTGGTCTGCTAGTCTTCATTAAAGATTCTACCAAGCCATAGCAAATTTAGTACTTAGTAGAGTTTGAAGATAGTGTATCTCTTGTGTGTGTGTGTAATGAAAGCAGTTTACTAGCGGGAACTGTGCTTCCAGCAAGTTAAGGTAGAATCCATCTTGTATCTTTAAAGCCGGTTATATATCCTGGAGAACTGCTTTCTTTGAAAGGCGTGAAGTCGACTTAAAGACTTCTCAAATCCTCCCTCGCATTTCTTCTAGCAAATATGTCATCTGCCGTGGGGAAGGGGGAGAAAGGCTGAAACCCTAATGCTTTATCTTGAACAATCACGAAACAATACACAAGTCAAGGTATTCAGTGGTCCAGTCCAGCTGATTGGTATAGTAGGGGGTGGGGTGGAACTGTGGCTGTTGATTAGGTCTTGAGGGATGGTATACAGTGGCTTGCAGGAGACAGCACTGGCCATGACCTCATGCCCTGCACGTGGCTGTGGAGACGCCCAAGCCAAGCACAGCCATGTCGTGCTGGTCACAGCCCGGCTGTGGAAGTTC